TTGAAAAAAATATATATATGTAACACACCTTTATATAACACACCTTCCTCTTCTAAATATATAATACACCTTCTAACACAATTTTTTCTTCTAAATATTTATAACACAATTTTTTTTTTCTAAATATATATAACACACCTTCTTCTAGAATAGCATTACTTCTGTTAAGTCATTATATTTTAATTTGTATTGGTTGCAATAAAGAAGCAACCTTTACAGATGCAAACTTTGCATTGGATGCATCTATAGCTTCTATGAAATGTCAGTAATGAAATTTGTTTCCACGAGAGGTCAGTAGTTAATGACAACAAAAAGATATAAAGTAGAGGACTCAGTAAGAAACTTGCCATTAATCAATACAGTAAGGTAAACAATATTGTGATTTGCTGTAAATAATTAAGTTTTGTTGGAGTTAAAATTCACAAGTCACAACAAGTCCCAAGCTGTTACCAAGGAGAGATCATATTCAAGATTAGCTTTATCTAAGCAATCCAGGTCAGGTTCAGGATCATCTTGATCATCCTGTTATGAGTATCATGTAACCCAGTACTACCAGCCCCATTCCCTACTGCCTTGAAGGGTTTGCTTTTTTTATTGTTTTTTTTTAAAGCTAGAAGAAACAAACTCAGACTTAAAATCCCCTGTCTTGGAGCTCTTGGTTGAGTAAAGACATGAGATGTTGTCTCCAGAGATGTAGTCAAGACAGTAAAGGCCAAGACCAAGATTAAGACCAAGACATTTGGGGTCAAGACCAAGACCAAGACTGAATGCTTCAAGACCAAAACCAAGACATCAAAAAATTAAACCAAGACCAAGATTTTGAAAGTTTTTACAAGACCGGGATCAAGACTTAGGTTCTAAGAAGTCTAACACAATACAACTCATGCTTGCACATGTACAGGGTAAACAGATTGTATTTGATGATCAGCTTTGTACCCTTTCCTTTTTTATTAGGCTGGCGTAGATGTATTTATAATACACTGTTTACAGTTTAGAATATCGAATGCTGAATCTTCTTAACTAAATGCATGGGTTTTGTTTGAGTCTTTATTTTTATGACTAAACAACTCATTCTATTATCTCTTATTGAGGATACAGCTTTAGAACTCAGTTTTATGGTTATAAGATCTACTGATAGTCAGGTTTTCAAAACTTTGTAGCAGCTCTTAGAGAGACCAATTTTATCAACAACTATTTTTATGACTAGACAACTCATTTTATTATCTCTCAATGAAAGTACAGCTCTAAAGGTCAGATTTATGATTCTAAGGCCGGTTGGTAGACAGGCTTCACTAAATCTGTCGTAGCTCTCAGAGAGACCGATTTTATCAACAGCTGTAAAATATTAGAGTACCAACAGTGCCATGTTGCGCACGGATGGTATCCCTGTTCGTAGTTTTGGTGTTTATTATTGAGGCTACATTTGGAGCCTTTGTTATGGCTTAGGGTTTATTAATAGAAACGCGGCAATTGCTTGGACTATGAGATAGTGTACTGAGTACTATCTGTGCTTTGAGTGAAGTTCTTTAGTCAATTTAAAAAACGACTTTAAAAAAAACTATAAAACACAAAAAACCATTGTCATAACCAAGTTCTCTAAATCTATCAATCACTAATATTCGTGGTCTTTAAAGTAAACTTTCTTCAGTTGAGTCTTATCTCTTACAAAGTTCACCAGACCTACATGCTCTTTGTGAGACAAATTTTTCTGCTGTCAAAAATTCAAGCTTTCTCATCACAAGGTGAGACAGCTCAACTCAAATTAGATAGTGTTGATGGCTATCTTCCTTTATTTCATAAAGACTCCAATAGTTATATGCTTGGTATAGACATTTACATTCGTAAGAATTCATCTATTTGTTGGGAATCTAGGTTTGAATCCACAGACTATTTTCATATGTGCTTTTAACTCCACTTCACTCTATCACCATTTGCTATGTTCTATATTGCTCTCCTTTATCTCAAGACTACACTCTTTTTGATGTTATTTCTGATCAAATTAACCAAGCTCTCTCTTTATCCTTTAAGCAATATCGCTGTTGGAAGTGAATTTATTGATCATCACACTGAATGGCTTGGTTCTAGTGTCAATGATTCTGCAGGTTTAAGGCCCACAACTTTTACCTTTCTCAATCTCTAACACAAATAGTCAACTTTTCAATTTGCTTTCCAAACAATCTGAATCATTTACTTTCACTACTCAATTTATGTCTTGTTTCTGATCCTAGTCAGTGCTCAGTTTCTCCTCATTTACCCTTAGGTGCTTCTGATCACGGTTTGATCTCTCTAAAACTATTATCTCATTGTTCCTTATCATCAGAATACCCCTATCATCATTTCTCTTACAACTATTTTAAAGCTAACTGTAACTCTTTCCGTGATTTTCTTTGTGACAGCCTTTGGGTAGAAATCTTTGTCTTCCTGCTGACAAATGTGCTACTTATGTACAACAATTCCAGCAGAATTGTTGTCTGCTGCCAAAACCTGCTATTCTCCTATTCAAGACTTCCGGAGAATCTTTAACAGTGCCTATAATAAGGGCAAATCTGTCATTCCACCTCTATTACATTGTTCATATTTTGTTAATTCATCTAAAGACAAAGCTGAGCTGTTTGCTAAACACTTTTCATCGATCTCATCTTTTGGTTCCACTAATCACACCCTACCTGATTTAGCCAACAAACAGGTTGATCCATTACTTGATATCGTATCACTCCAGCTTCTGTATCTAAATTAATTTCCTGCTTAGACTCTTCTACAGCATGTGGTCTAGACAACATACCTATTATGGTCTTGCAGAAAGGCTCTCCGTAGCTGTCGTTTATACTTTCAAAACTATTTAACAAGTCCTTATCTTGTTTTCCATCCTGCAGGAAAGTGGCATCCGTTATTCCAATTTTCAAAAATTCTGGAGACCAATCTGACTTGTCTAACTACTATTCCATTATTATTCTTCCTATCATAAGCAAGGTTTTTGAGTCTTTATTTTACAAACACTTAATCTTTCATCTGGAATATATTAACTTACTTTCTTAACATCAATATGGATTCCGATCTTTTCGTTCTACTGCTGATTTGTTAACGATAATAACCAAAAGGTTTTATCATGTATTAGATAAATAAGGAGAGGTTAGGTCTATCTTTCTCAACATTTCTAAAGCCTTTGATAAAATTTGGCATGTTGGTCTTTTCCATAAGCTCTTATTATACAGTGTATCATTTATATATTATTACTGGACAAAAAGAATACATAAACAAATAAAAAATAATAATACTAGGTTGGTTGAAAAGTTCGCGGAGCGGCACCTATGTTGCAGTAGTAGAAACAAATTTATAACTGTATTAAACGTATTCATTCTTCGTATGAACGCATAAAAAATTTCAAGTCGATATGTCATTTCAGTCTTTGTTTACAAGCTATTGAAATTAGACGTGTCATAGTATTTTTTAAAATGGAAAATATTGAACATCGTGCTGTAATAAAATTCTTTGTGAAAAAAGGTTTAAAGCCCATGGAAATTCATAATGAAATGGTAAATGTGTTGGGTGATGATGCTCCTTCAAAAACAACAGTATGCAAATGGGCTGCGGAGTTTCAACGTGGGCGTTCAAGCCTTGAAGATGACCCTCGCTCTGGACGTCCAAAAAGTGCTACTACTGAAGAAACGATTAATGCTGTGCATGACATGGTTATGGATGATAGACGATTGACCAAACGTGAAATTGCTGAGGCTGTGGGCATCTCAGATGAACGGGTATTACACATCTTGCACGATGAATTACGTCTGAGAAAGCTGTTGGCAAGATGGGTGCCGCATTCGCTAACTCTGGATCAGAAACGCACTCGAGTAAAACTTTCTCAAGAACATTTGGCCCGTTTTCAAAAGAATAAAACAGATTTTGTGCGTCGATTCGTAACCATGGATGAGACTTGGGTTTACCACTATGATCCGAAGCTGCGACAACAAACTGCAGAGTGGACAGAACCCGGTTGTTCAGCTCCGAAGCAAGTGAAGGCGTCAAAATCGTCAAAGAAGGTTATGGCATCAGTTTTTTGGGATGCGAAAGGAATTTTATTAATAGATTACCTTCAAACCGGTAAAACGATAACAGGTGAATATTATAAAAATCTTTTGGACCAGTTGGATAAAAAAATTCGTGAGAAAAGACCTGGTTTGCTGCATAAAAAAATCATTTATCACCAGGACAACGCACCTGCTCATATCAGCGATGTTGCAAAGGCGAAATTGGTCGAATTAAAGTACGAACGCTTGGAACATCCACCCTATTCACCAGATCTGGCTCCGTCCGACTTCCACCTCTTTCCACATCTCAAAAAATTTCTACGTGGAAAGCGTTTCTCATCACATGAAGAAGTCATTGCAGCCGTAAATGGGTATTTTGAAGGCCTTCCGGAATCGCACTTCAGAGATGGGATACATGAATTGGAGAATCGTTGGAAAAAGTGTATTGCTCTTAAGGGAGAATATACTGAAGAATAAAGTCATTTTTTGAATCATAAAATTGTTTTTTCATTTCCGCTCCGCGAACTTTTCAACCAACCTAGTATAAATAATTTTAATTAAACATTAAAAAAAAAATTTAAAGATTTTTTTTTAAATTCTCCTCAAACAAAAAATTTCAATTAGTCCCTTGTCAAACCAATGCAACCAATTCTCTTTGAAAGCGGGAAGTTGTGGCGATCTACGGTTTATTATTAATAACAAACCATTATTAATTTTATCAGTTTTTAACTGTTTGTAACTGCATTCAACTTTGCATACTTAGTTATTGTACTTATAAAAACAAGTAACTTAATACTATCATTACTATTTACTTTATAATTGATATTATTATTATACTAATGAGTTTGCAAAAAAAAAAAATTATTATGGAAAAACATGAGTGCTTTCAATGTTTAAAATTTAATAGATTTTTTTATTTTTATAAAAAACTAATTTTTTCAATAGCTTCTTTTAAGAAATAAGTTAAAACCATACAGCCTTTTTTTTAGCTAAATCAAGACGCAATGCTTTGTTCATTGTTCTTAACTTGGAAATAGCATCTTTATTTATTTGCATTGTCCATTGGGAGTTTTCAAAGTATGCTTTGCGATCCCCATCTAAATAAAAATAACTTAAAGTTAATAAAACAGTTTTTCAAAAAAGCAATTAACCCTCTGTTTACCAGATAATGAAAAAAAGTTCAAAAAGTTACAAATTAAATTTTTTAAGACATTATAATTGATAAGAAATGGTTTTTGTATAAAAATTCAAACTTCGATGTTTAAATTCAAGATTTTCTTAAATTCCTTAATTTTATTGTAATTTTTATGAACATGAACTTCCTATTTATGCCATTTTGTTTAATTAAGACAAATCCAATGTATATTAACTTGAACAATCAAACAAACAAACAAACTTGTTGTTATTGATAAGATTTTTTTATTGATTTTCCAGCACTACTCTTCAAAAATTTGGCTTTTTTCTGAAAACAGAAAAAGAAATCTAAAGCATCAACTTTTTTTGGCTGGAATATGTATATATATATATATATATATATATATATATATATATATATATATATATATATATATATATATATATATATATATATATATATATATATATATATATATATATATATATATATATATATATATATATATATATATATATATATATATATAAGGGTAGGTGATATAATTTATTTTACTTGTTACAGGCTCTAAACATTGCTAATAGTTATTAATATTGATACTATCAAATATAAGAATGAGTATGATAGATTTAAAGGGCGCAACTTCATTGGGAAAATTACCTCTACCCTAATATTTTGGAGTAAAAAAAGTTTTTCAAAAGTAGGTCAACCTGGTACTCAAAAGAAGCGAAATTTGATAAAAAATTCAAAAATAATAATCACTTTAGAAAAATCATATTGCCGAAAAAAATTGCTGTTATAAAACATGTAAAAATGCACCTTTTTCACTTTTAGTTAAAAATCTATAGTTATTATGCAATTAAATCTAAAATAGTAATTTTTATATGAAAAAATTATTATTTTTGAAATTTTTATAAAATTTCGCTTTA